GATAACAATATTCAGAAATATGAATTTCATCTGGATTTGGACTGCTCCTTTAATTATAATTATAATTATAATTATTATTATTATTATTATTATTATTATTATTATTGTTATTGTTATTATTATTATAATTCTAATTCTAATTCTAATTGTAATTATAATTATTATTATTATTATTATTATTGTTATTATTATTATTATTATAATTATTATTATTATTATTATTGTTATTGTTATTGTTATTTTTATTATTATTATTATTATAAAACTGCTTTTAATGTTCCATTTGGGCATTATGAGTGGAATGTTCTTCCCTTTGGATTAAAAAACGCCCCATCAGAATATCGAAACATCATGAATGATATTTTCTATCCTTATATGAAATTTACACTGTTACTACATAATTTGGTATCAGAGCCTATCTGGTACCCCTCAATATAAATTTATTATAATTTGGCATATGCAGTAACAGTGTAAATATGCTCAGTGCGATCTTCATAATTATATACATAAATCGTTATATGAAATGCTGGAAGATTTGAATGTGTAATATATATATGACCATGTTCAAAGAAAATAATCATTATAAAGAAACTTACAAAATCATAGAGTTGCAAGCGGAGATGAGATTGAAAGAAACTTGATATTCTATTTCACTCGATGCTTTACAATAGAGGAGAGGGTCTCCTTATATAGAAAACGTAAAACACTCTAAATTACTTACAAGGGTAGTGATTCACTACTTTATTTAAGGGCAAACTAGGAAACTAAAAATTAGTACAATAATTTACACAGTAAAGACTTCAAGAGATAAGATATCGTCGAAAGTCTTTTGTCTTGTTGCACAGCTATTAACCTGTCTTGATCTGATAGGACTTATTTTATCTTGTAGTAATTATTTTGTCTAGGTCTGATGGAACTTTTGCTTTTTGACTTTTGATCAACATTATTGAGAGTGTTGGCAAAATCTAATCCGAACAGGTGTCTTGCTAATCTTGAATGTATCAATAATACATATCTTCATTTTTAAGATATGGGTTTGTGGATACCGATTCAGAAGAACCAGTTTCTTCTTGGGCTTCTGGGTCTTGGAGAGCTCGAACTAATCGGAGTCTCTCTTCAAACTCTTCTTGTGATGATGCAGAGGCTAATTCTGCCATAATTTTACTTTTCTCAGCCAAAAATTGAGAGTCTTTTGAAATTCTTTTCTTATTTTCTTGGGTCATAATTGCTGGAGAATTACTTTGAACCCATTCTTTAATTCTTGCTTTGTTGATGAGATTCATATCGAACTTATTCCACCATTTAACTTTAATGCATCTGGAAAGAACTCTTAATGGAACATTGTCATAAGGTTGTCTAAAGATGTAATCCCAAGTAACAATCCAGGTGATATTTTGGGAGGCAACAAAAGTAATCATTTTGTAATTTGGAAGGAAAGTGGTAATTTCCTTGAAATAATCAAAATTTTCTGAAACTTCTTGTGGAAATAATTCTCTGATGGGTCCCCATGTGTAGAACCACTGAAGAAACCATTTTGGGAATTTTAATGAGATTCCTCTGCGGAACCAAAAGAACCATGAATGTGTTTTGGGTTTGAGGTATAACATGTAAGTCCATGCCATAGTATAATCATAATATGTGTAGGTTTGGGGTTGGAATTGTCTAGAGAAAGATTTTGGTTGGTAAATGGGTTGTCCCCATTCTTCAGGAGTCATAATTTTAAGAATTTTGGCTTTGGAGTAAATGATATTGCTTTCTTTGTCTCTGGAATGAAATAAATCTATTAATTCTGTATCTACTAGAATGAATTCATAAAAAATTCTAGTTTTAAGGAAATTTTGATAATGGGTGTCTTTGGGGAAAATGGTATTGAGTAATTGTTCTCTGGATAGGTTTTTCCATTCTGGCTCTATTGGCATAACATCTATGTGGTTATCTTTGGTAATATAATTTAACTCATAAGATCTTGAGTCTGAGGGAGTAGTAACTGGATTGGTATTATGGGTAATATTTTTGGATAGATTTTGAGAGATTTGCTTTGGAGAAGGTATTGAACTTGGTTCAGGTGCATATTCCAAGGCTGCTATGGGGTCAAATCTGTTGTGGTTTAATAATGGTGATTGAGAATTAATGGCTTCTAAAGAGGTTGATGTTTTAGAAGGTAATTTTGTATTGAAAGATTGAGGTAACTTTCTTGAAGAACTCGGCGATGCCGATATTGATTTGGACTGCTCCTTTTTAACAGTATTGATGTTGGGTGCCTCAAAAGGCAATCCATATTGATCTTTAGTACTTTTGCTCATTGGCCTTGGCCTGTAAAAACTCTCTTGTTAAGTAATCAGGTAAAGTATTTGTCTCTCCTTTAATATGCTCAATCTCAAAATCGAAGCATGATAATAATGCTTGCCATCTTGCAAAAATATGTTTAGAGACTAAATTTTTAACATCCTTTTGTAAAACAGAAGGAGCTGCTTTGCAGTCCGTTCTTATTAAAAATCTTTTGGAAAATAAATCATCTTGAAATTTTTGTAAACATAAAACAATAGCTAAAATTTCTTTTTTAACCGGCCCGGGTCCAGGCTCTGATACCAAATGTAACACCTTATGTAGCAGACTTTATTCCCAATATTAGAGTTATATGTGCTCCACTATATGCAAGACTGAGAAAAAATCCCAAACCTTGGGACCCAGAAATGACCCAAGTCATTATTAAAGTTAAATAGATAGTCAAAAGATTACTCTGTTTAGGGATTCCTGACCCAGAAGCCTATCTTATTGTCGAGACAGATGCCTCAGACTTAGGATATAGGGGAATTTTAAAGCAAAAAATTTTATCAAAAGAGCAAGTTGTCAGATATCATTCAGGTATTTGGCATCCAGCTCTGCAAAAGTATTCAACAGTCAAAAAAGAGATTTTATCAATAGTTTTATGTCTTCAAAAATTTCAAGATGATTTATTTTCAAAAAGATTTTTGATTAGAACCAATTGTAAAGCAGCACCATCAGTTTTACAAAAAGATGTTAAAAACTTAGTTACAAAACATATTTTTGCTAGATGGCAAGCTTTATTATCATGCTTCGATTTTGAGATTGAACATATCAAAGGAGAGACAAATACTTTACCAGATTATTTGACAAGAGAGTTTTTACAGGAAAATGAGCAAAAGCTCTAAAGATCAATATGGGACGCCTTTCAAGGCTCCAATCAACAATACTGTTAAATCGGCTCAGTCCGAAGCATCAAGACCATTATCGGCATCGCCAAGTTCTTCAAGAAAGTTACCACAGTCTTTCAATGCAAAATTACCTTCAAAATCTACAACATTTTTAGAAGCCATTAATTCTCAATCTCCATTACTGTTTCACAATAAATTTGACCCAATAGCCGCCCTACAACATACCCCTGAACCTAGCTCCATACCTTTTCGTTCAAGACAAATTTCTCAAAACTTATCTTAAAATATTACCCACAATACAAACCCAATAACCACACCATCAAATTCTCGAATTGATATAGGAATACAAGTTTGTAATGATTTCAAACTTCAAAACAAACTTAGAAAAGAAGCAGGAACCAGTAAGAGAGAAATAGGAAACTTCTGTGAACAATATGGAGTAGAACCTATTAGAGCACCCAGTGTAGTTAGGAAAAAGGCCTAGAGAAAACAGTTTGTTTCTCAAAAGCCTTACCACAAGTCTTATAATAATTATAAAAAGCCCTATAAAAAATCCTTTAAGAGAAATAAAAATTATTCAAAAAATTTAGAAAAGCCCAATACTAGTACTAAACCCAAATCTACAAAAAGAATATAACATGTTGGAAATGTGGGCGACCAGGCCATTTTGCCAATAAATGTAGAGTTCAACAAAAGATTAATGAATTAGAAATAGATGAATCATTTAAAAAATATTTAATAGCAATAATGATTAACTCAGAATCAGAAGAGAGCAATTCTACTTCTAATGAAGAAAGCAATACTGAAATTATTTATCAATTAGAAGAAGAAGACTCTAGCTCCAGTCAATCTCAAGATGAAGATAGTTGTTTAGGCCCAGGTCTTTGCACCTGTAATGATTGTAAAACTATTAATATGTTAACTATAGATCAAACTCATTCTTTGCTAGATTTAATTTCAAAATTAGAACATGGACCAATAAGAACTGAATTCATTAATAAATTAGAAGAACTATTAAGAGCAGATGAAAAAGAACAAGAAGAAGTTAAAGAAGTAGACATAAAAGAAATATATTCAAGATTTCGTCAACCAACCCCTGTTACTATTAAAGATATACAAGAAGAAATTAAAAATTTAAAAATAGAAATTACTAATTTAAAATAAGATAATATATCCATTAAATATAGAATATTAGAATTAGAAGGAAAAGAAAAAGTCAGAGAACAAGAAAATATTAAAATAGATTTAGAACAACCTTCGACTTCAGTAGAAGATGTTAATTATTTACATATGATAACAACTCATAAATGGCATTGTAATATTAAACTATTAGTTAAAAATGAAGAATTTAACTTAATTGCATTAATAGATTCAGGAGCAGATCTTAACTGTTTGCAAGAAGGTATTATTCCATCAAAATATTATGAAAAGTCTTCTGAAAAAGTTTTAAGTGCCAATAATTCTTATATGAAAATTAATTATAAATTATCATCTGCAGAAATATGTAAAAACAAAATTTGTTACGAAGCCTCTTTTGTATTAGTTAAAAATATGAATATTCCTTGTATATTAGGAACACCTTTTCTATCATTATTATATCCTTTTAAAGTTACTCCAAAAGGATTAGAAACTCAAGTAGTAGGTAATTCAATATGTTTTGAATTTATACACCCACCAAGATCAAGAGAATTAAACTTATTAAGAGAAAAAAGTATTATAGAAAATAAAAGAAAACAAATTAATTTTTTATCTAAAGAAATTCAATATAAAAGAATAGAAGAACAATTATCAAATAAAAATATTCAAGAAACTATTAAAAAGATTAATAATCAAATTGAACAAGAAATTTGTGAATTAAATCCAACAGCCTTTTGGCATAGAAAAAAGTATGAAGTATTATTACCACATATAGAAAATTTTGATGAAAAGAATATTAATACTAAAGCAAGACCAATACAAATGAATCCTCAATATTTAGAATATTGTAAAAAAGAAATTCAAGAATATTTAGATAAAGGATTAATTAGACCCTCTAAATCTCCTTGGAGTTGCTAAGCTTTTTATGTCTTAAATGCCGCTGAGTTAGAAAGAGGAGCACCAAGATTAGTTATCAATTATAAACCACTAAATAAAGTCTTAAAATGGATTAGGTATCCTTTACCCAATAAACAAGATTTAATTAAAAGAATAACTCATGCAACCCTATTTTCAAAATTTGATATGAAATCTGGTTATTATCAAATTGGGGTGAAGGAAGAAGATAAGTACAAAACTGCTTTTAATGTTCCTTTTGGACATTACGAGTGGAATGTATTACCATTTGGTTTAAAAAATGCCCCTTCTGAATATCAAAACATTATGAATGATATTTTTTATCCATATATGAAATTTGCCTTAGTATATTTAGATGATGTATTAATATTTTCGAATTCTATTAACCAACACATAGAACATTTAAAAACTTTTATTAATTTAGTAAAAGAAAATGGATTAGTAGTTTCTGCCAAGAAAATTAAAATATTTTCTACAAATATAAGATTTTTAGGTTATGAAATTTATCAAGAAACTATTATTCCAATTCAAAGATCAATAGAATTTGCCGATAAATTTCCAAATGAAATAAAAGATAAGACCCAACTTCAGAGATTTTTAGGTTGTGTCAATTATGTAGCAGACTTTATTCCCAATATTAGAGTTATATGTGCTCCACTATATGCAAGACTGAGAAAAAATCCCAAACCTTGGGACCCAGAAATGACCCAAGTCATTATTAAAGTTAAATAGATAGTCAAAAGATTACTCTGTTTAGGGATTCCTGACCCAGAAGCCTATCTTATCTAACCGATGTGGCACTTCACACTGGGCAAGATGCCAAATACCAGAATAATATCTAACAATTTGTTCTTTTGAAGTTGAAGATATTTTTTGTTTTAATATACCCCCATAGCCTAATTCAGACGCATCAGTTTCTACTATAAGGAAGGCATCTGGATCAGGGATTCCTAAACATGGTAGTTTTTTTACTATTTGCTTCACTTTGATAATAATCTGCGTCATTTCACTATTCCAAGGTATTGGGTTTTTTCTAAGTCTTGCGTATAAGGGAGCACAGATAACTCTTATATTGGGGATAAAATCTGCTACATAATTGACACAGCCTAAAAATCTTTGCAACTGGGTTTTGTCTTTAATTTCATTAGGAAATTTATCAAAAAATTCTATTGATCTTTGAATAGGTGTTATTGTTCCTAGATATATTTCATAACCTAAAAATCTAATTTTTGTTTGAAATATTTTAATCTTTTTTTGCAGAAACAACTAATCCGTTTTCTTTTATTAAATTAATAAAAATATTTAAATGTTCTATATGTTGATTAATATTATTAGAAAAAATTAATACATCATCGAGATAAACTAATGCAAATTTCATATAAGGATAGAAAATATCATTCATGATGTTTTGATATTCTGATGGGGCGTTTTTTAATCCAAAGGGAAGAACATTCCACTCATAATGCCCAAATGGAACATTACAAGCAGTTTTATACTTATCTTCCTCTCTGACCCCAATTTGATAATAACCTGACTTCATATCAAATTTTGAAAATATTGTAGCATGGGTTAATCTTTTAATCAAATCTTGCTTATTAGGTATAGGATATCTAATCCATTTTAAAACTTTATTCAATGGTTTATAATTAATAACTAAGCGAGGGGCTCCTCGTTCTATTTCAGCTGCATTTAAAACATAAAAGGCTGAACAGCTCCAAGGAGATTTTGATGGTCTAATTAAACCTTTGTCTAGATAATCTTGAATTTCTTTTTTACAATACTCTAAATATTGAGGATTCATTTGAATGGGTCGTGACTTAGTATTGATGTTTTTCTCATCAAAATTTTCAATATAAGGTAACGATACTTCATACTTTTTTCTATGCCAAAAAGCTGTTGGATTGATTTCGCAAATTTCTTGTTCAATTCTGTTATTAAAACTTTTAATAGTTTCTTGAATATTTTTATTTAATAGTTGTTCTTCTATTTTTTTATATTGAATTTCTTTTGATAAAAAATTAATATGTTTTCTTTTATTTTCAATGATACTTTTTTCTTTTAATAAATTTAGTTCATAAGTTTTTG